ATGGAAACGATTAAAATTTCAAAGAGTATGGTGTACACCAGTGGTTCCCAACCGGGGGTACGAAAAAACATTCTCGGGGGTGCGAGGAAGAGTGATTGTAATTAATAATGATTAAGATGAATTCCGGATTAATTCGGCACTTTCATTATCAAATTAAAAGAAAATGTTATTAAAATTATATATTTTTTACGTATTTGTACGTATATATTTATTACGTATCATCATGCGAAGCTTGATATTATGGATAATAATTTTATAATATTAAAATGATAGTTAATTTCTATAAAACAATACTATGTAATAATAAATTATTATAAATTAAATGCATTGGTTCTGTAAATTTTTTCTTTCTAATATTTTATTTATAATTGATAAATATTTATAAATATTACGTATTATTCTACAATACATTACTGAACTTTTTATGGTTTAATTGATTGGTAAAAAGTTGAATATCTTTTTTGATTTTTAACTTTTTACCTTGAAACCTTATCTTAAAACTCTAACTAATTTTTACTATAAAACATACGAGTAATCTTTTTTTAAGTAAAGAGTGCGAAGTTTCATTAATAAAATTTTAGGGCTGCGAAATACAAAAAGGGTTGAGAAACCCTTCGGTGTACACCGAAATATCTTCAGTGAATGTCTGCAACTTGAATACGTAAAGGAATTTTCAAAGCCTCTTTGAGAACGCACGGGGATTTGGAAAGATGAAAACTTTAGCTTGGAATAGTGTGGTGTTATATTTGAATCCGCGGTGGTTGTTAGACCCTGTCGGAAATTATCGTAGAGATAAATCAAACTCTGAGAAAGCAGGTGGGCGGATGAATAACGCCTTTCGGAGTCTTCGAAGTTCGGTGGAAACGTACATATTTGATAAAAAAAAGGTTACACACAATCATAAAATGCGCACGCCTTGCTCGCATGCCAGTACTGCCACTCGCCCCCATTCACAGTCGCGCCAACATAAAAACCTAATTGCGCAGGCGAGACAAAGGTAAAGTAACATTGCTCTCGAGTAACTTGCATACAGGAGAATAGTGATGTAAGTTTGCCTACGCTTGAAACAATCTTAGCTCTCGTTATTTATCGGTGTCGAATTCTAAAATTTGGACGCCTAGTTTCTGTCGGGCACGAACGTTGCTTCCCGATTCGACGGTCCTCTTTTTCGGCCCGAGTTAAAACATAACAGGCGCGAAATATTAATTCGTGGCAAATTATCGGGTTCGCTCATCGTGAAAAGAATACTCGCGATACACAAACACATCGAAGGGCGAGAGAGGAACCAATGAAGGGCTAGAACACTAGGCTCAGATATTTAATCTGGATGCGGAGTGGGTAGGGCTCATCTAGACAAGAAGAGAGAGAGAGAGAGAGAGAGAGAGAGTGTGTGTGTCGGACAAAGATCGAGCGGAAAGATAGCCGATACCTCTGGGAAATATCGGTATCGATAGGTGATCGGAGCTAAATGGTTTATGCGAGCGATCGACCTCCGACCTCTTGTAATAACCGGCAAGGAATCTGCCGTCTGATCTATTGGATCGAACTCGATCGAGTTACACCTCGGCTGGCGGGAGGAGCCGGTCTTATTCTCACTCACCCTTTCCGCGAACTCACAACGAGATAAATAGATCCCGTAGCCCTTTGCATTTTTGGAAGCTCTCCAGTCGTAAATTCGCGATATCGAAATGCTCATCAGTATGCATTCTCAGAGCGCCCGACAAGCTCAAAGACCTGAGTATCGCGGGTCCGAGTGTCCACGGAAGAGACACACAGGGTCTACCAATACCAAGATACACGAAGAATCCAGAGGCTCGAATGAAAGCCGGTAGCCCTCACTTCGACGAGGCATTGAATTACACGTTTAAACGTCCAAAGTTAGAGCAGTAAATAAGGGACTCAAGGCATTCTCGTGCGCGCGCGTTTCAGTCCCTCACAGTCTTTTTTTCTTCCTCTCTTCTCTTCGTTGCAGTCGAAGCATAGGCAGAGGTAACGATACATATTATCCGACCGACAATGAGGGCGTCCTGCTAACGAAGAAGAGCAGCGATCGGGCTCTCGTAAATCTTAGGATTATTAATACCTTGCAGTCTCTGTGCATGAATCCGGCAGGTGGCTGGCCGGTCTCTAATCGCGATCCCGGAATAATTTACACCCATATTCCTCGGGAAGCATCGCGGGGAACGTTAACGAGCACCGAGCAGCGGCGCTTTCATGTGATTTTCGAGTAAGTCGTGATCGCGCGAGCCAGGTGACGCCTGCTCGACCAACCCTCGAATCTCAATGTCCCGATATCTCTATCTGCCTCGTGTAAACGTCGAGCACGCAGCCGGTTGTTTCATCGCCGTGAAGTGGCCAGCTAGAATTTAATTGTTAGCCGGTACGCGCTTTGAGCTTTTTATTCGGATGCTCCATCTTGGCATATCGTATACACAGAGGCGTTTTCAGGGCCGACCACGTGACGTGATCGCTCGCCAAGTATACTCACGCTCCGTAAATCGTTCGCTTCGCGCTTGTTCTCTCGATATTGAGGGAATTAAAAGTCGAAGAAATAACCTATTATCTGCAACTATATTATCTGCAGCAGCCAGTCGAAGAGAGAGAGAGAGAGAGAGAGAGAGAGAGAGCGCACAATCGCTCAGCTTTCTTGTGTAGACCAGTAAACGAAGCGCACGGCTTCGAGCGGCTTTGCTACAATTACCGGCGTCATTTGTCACGGCCAGAAAAGGCGGTATAATGATATGAGTGAGTTACTATGTTTTATAGACTCTTGCGGCATGCAAGCGTAAAGGATGAAGACAGCTCCACTGAACTGTGTCGTGAAAGAACGATGATCGTAACTCTCCATAGAGCCGCTAAAAATTCTAATAAATGAATAAATCGTGATAGATGAATGGACCAGTCTGACCGGCGCAGAAGCCTTTCATGTGGAGTTCGAAACCATAGAATAAACTTTTCTTGGGCATAAACCGTAGCAAACGAATGCAAGAGCAGACATCGCCGTCGAAGGAGCAAAAAATCTCGAGACGGAGAAAAGACAGACAAGTCCAATGAAACAATTAACTTTCGAGCGAGGTTGTGAGAAAATAATTCCGACTAGGTATATTACGTACGAAGAATTTCAACATAGAGATTCCCATGGTCCAAAGCGCCATTTGATTCATGGTTATTTTTAAATCACAGATATCCAGCCCATCCAGCCCGTGCGTCGTTCCTAACCTAACCTAACCTGATTGTCTTTCGCTCATCAAATAAAGTACGCTTCATCAACCGCCATTGAGCAGATATTTAGGTTCAGTTTATCCACCAGCTGGGTCCTGAAATCCCTCTCGTCCTAACCTAACCTAACCTAACCTAATTTTCTTTCGATCATCAAATAAAGTTCGCTCTTCATCAACCGCCATTGAGCAGATATTTAGGTTCAGTTTATCCACCAGCTGGGTCCTGAAATCCCTCTCGTCTAAAGCCTCGTTGAATCATTTTTCCAGCATTCCAACTTATACCGCGTTGCATGTAACGTCTTTCCCGGATATATACGGCGGTATTATCATCTCCCTCGGCGATCAAGGAGCCGCTTTGGACTCCGCTAGACCAAAGCGGGCAGGTAATGTCGTTCGTGCCTGGTGACAATGGTTCGCGCGGTGAACGAGGAAGAGAAGATAACCACTGCAGGATTGGCCGGTAATAGAGTCTTCAGGTTCAGGGCGAGGGCAGAAAGCATCGGCCGTTTAAGCGCAGCTCCTCGTGGATGGCTAATAATATTAACCGTGCCGCGCGTCGCGATCGCACAATGGTCCTTTGTGGAGACGCCCGGTCGCGCGCGCACGTAAATGCTCGTAACATAAATCGCGCGCGGCGACACGCTATATTGTCTTCGCACGATACGTATTGCCTCCCGCTCTACGTCCTTCTCTACTTTATTATTGTTTCCTACGGTGTCGTGGATCTCCGTTTGCCGAAGAACGCGGCAAGGTCATGTCGGAGCAACAGTCGCTCCCAGCGTTTGTTCTTAACCCTCGGGCGGCGAGCGGCGATGGCCGACGCGCGATTCCGACGTGACCCGTACCGGCTTTCGTCGAGCATTCCGAGCTCGATCGTGCGGACATTTCTGCACATTTCCGCACAGAACCGGGCAGCTCCTCCATACAGTTGTGCGCATTTCGCGCACGAAGTTGCGCGATACGTCCGCAATGCGATTGTGCAATATCGAGAACCCGCCGCAAAAATCAGCGGGTCCGTCAGAATGGACTTTAGAAATCAGCCGCCGCGATATTTTGAACGACGTCGTATATAAATAGCGCCGCAACTGCAATATAACAGCGGGCGCGATGTTACGCCGGTGCCTATGATTTATGCGCGACTCATTGTTCGCCACGCGACGCCAACAGCGGCCGCATTGTCGTACATCGTTATTATTCTTCCAGTCTCTTTCCCCTCCCGTCGACGTTAAACGAACGAAAGCTCTCGGCTTTCAGCGAGAGCGTCCCAACTCGCGGTGAGCATAAATCGCGTCCGCGTGGATTTGCATAAATCGTCTCCGTGTGATTGAAAACGCAAGCCTTTTCTCCTCGCAAATCAAACCGCGCAGATGTCATTCGTGACACGGCACTTTATGATGGTTTTTTTCCGAAAATCGATCATTTTCTCGAAATCACCTTCCGGCGAACGTAAAATTGCCCTTCGTCCAACGAGTTACGCGTCATACTTTCTTGCAGCAGAAGATTTAAGTTCCACCTGAAGTTGACTACATAAATTTATGTTGCTAATATCCGTGCTCAATTTGCGCCGCGTAAGCAATTTTTGAAGAATTTTTTTCCCCGTTTGAATTAATTTAGTTTTGAGTTAAATGCATAAAAATGTACTTACTATACATGTTGTACTTCTCGGTGGACCGATTGCGCCTCACGCTGCTTTCTTTCGCGCGCGAATTCGACAGAAAGGAAAAGGAACAAGACGGCTTGCGAGAGGATCCAATGACTGAACACCAACGTAGTTTGGAGAATAAATTAATATATTTTTAATGGATATATGATAGGTACTGTTTTCGCATATCCCGGATCATCGTATGGCAACTCTTAATCACCCCTAACCATAAACCGAGCTCATAGATCTATCTTGCTTGCAGGGGGGTGGGGAGAGCAAATCTTTGTACCGCACTGTACTCACGTTCACGTAGGATTTTTTAAGTATATATACAACCAGGCAAAATCCTATCGCAGAGGTCCTCAAAAGCTTTTACCTTTCTCACACCTTTCCGTCCCGATTTGACACTGTTCCTAGTATTACGCTACTATAAACAGGTTGCTAAGAAAAAACTCATCCATTCGCCCAGTCTCTATCCTCCCTGTAAGAATTTTAATCACAACAAGCAAATTTTTCTACAATTTCTCCCGACTCGATCGCGCGTCAGTGTAAAGAGTTGAGAACCCCTGCCCTATTGCTTTAAATAATATCCGCGATCGACGAACACTGGGGTATCAGCTACTCAAATTAAATAAAACAAAACCTCCTTCTCACTATTTACATTAAATACATACGTATGCATTCACTCTTTTGTTTTCTCTCTCTCTCTCTCTCTCTCTCTCTCTCTCTCTCATTCTTGCTGTCGCTTCCTCGCTTCTTTCTCTCTTACCTCGAAAAAGGACGACCCGCCTAGTCAACGAGTGCGCCCTTCGTTTATTGCACATTTTTCCATTTTCTTCTTTGAAAAGAGACACAATGATGAAATCAAACTCACTCAATCTACGACGGTCACGCATGCATTCGATATGTCGAACTGATATATGCCTTCTCGGTCCAAGTTGCTGACGTGTGATTTCCGGATTCCCCGAATGGACTCGAAGAGTCTCCGAGTTACGTAGTTGCGATTTAGCTTCAACTTGCAGATCCTTGAATCTCTCTAAAATTCAATCTATCTACGTGTTGCCCAGTCAATGGGTGTCCCGAGCCTCGAACTCGTGCAGAGATTCTCCAAAGACGTCGGGATACCGAAGATCTAGATGTATCCCATCGAAGGACGTAAGAGTGTCTACAAGTATGCAAGGATATTCGCGAATCTGTTGTCTTCAGTCAAAGGACTGGAACCGCGATTCAAAGGTGGGAACAGGAGCATTACTATGGCCAGTCTCATCTCTGTGCGTCTTTCTCGTTCTTTTCTTTTTCGAAGCAAAAGAACCGTTTTTCAGTCACCTTTCAGTCTTTGTTGATCTGGCGATCACTTCACCGTTCACTGGTATCCCGAAGAGGAGAACCCCAACTAATCGCACTTCACCATCGCCAACTGAGCGTCCCTTTAAACTGGCTCACTTCGGCGTCTCCCCTTTCGCCTATTCACTACGTTGTAGAGGGCGACGTGCAGACTGACGACATCGGCGACGTCGGCGTCGTAGGCGTCGCCGGCCTGCGCTCCGAAGCCCCGCTAGTTCGGTTATTCCCCAGTAGACTATCGATGGAGAACGGGTTCAGCCTCTTTCTCTCCTCCCTGCCCTTCACCGAGAGGTCAATGCTACCGCTTTGGACTTCCTCTTCGCTGGTAGCTTGCCTGATCAGATTTCTGCCTCCGTTGCCAGCCTGCTGACGACCCGTGCCGACGGCCACCAACTCGCGTCGTCGCTCCAGTAAGCTCAGACCCCAATGGTGAATACCGGGTTGATGGTTCAGGTGTTCCATCGTCGGGTTTTGCGGGTTCTTGCGGCTCTCGCTGGATTCGCTGGCGTTGCCCGTCGGGTAACATTCACCGTCCACGGACCCGTCGGCCGCGGAGTCTACTCGTTCGCTTCCGCTCTCGCTGCAGGAGTCCAGTCCGCCTACCACGTCGATCTCCTCGTTAGCATCGTTGCCGGAAGCAGACATGTTGTTGCTCTCGTTGTTTAGGCCTAATTGACCAAAGGAGTTGCTTAGGGGACCGCTCGCGGAACCGCCTCGTCCCGACGCTGCCTCGCTGCGAGACTCCCACTCGGCACGCAGTGTCGACAACTCCACTGTTATGCCCTGAAATTAGAGGGAAACCAAAGGGTGTACAAGAGGGAAATACCTCATAATGTCTCTACAGGGTGTTTGAAAAGATATTCCTGACTTGCAGAATAGACGGTACTCGTTATACTGTGAATAAAGAGTGCTTAGTAAACACACAGATCGAAAAATCAACTCTCTCAATGTTGCAAATGTTTTTCGATTTTGGTAAGCAGGTTATTTCTGTGCTTCCATCGGTATTTATGAAAGGACCACAATGAAGCTCCAGCTCATTTTGTATTAATAGTCAGGGAATATTTAAACAGAGCGCATATTCATTGAAAAACGAGTTGAATCGGGCCGATTGTCCTTAAAGTTTTGACATGGTGATTTCAAGATGCGGAAGATAAGCCACGACCTGGACAGCCTTCAACCATTGACATTGTGAGTAACTTAGTGAATGGTAATCCACGAATTTCAACAGAAGAAGTCGCAGAAAAGTTAGATGTCGATAGATCGATAGCATTTCAACACCTAAAGAGGATTGGGTGCAATCTAAAGCTCGATATTTGGGTACCATATGTTCTCATTGAGAAAGACAAAATTGACCGAGTTTCCGCGACAGTTTCTCTGCTCGACCGACAAAAGAAGGGTCCATTCTCGAAGACGTCAGTGAGTGGTGATGAAAAATAATCCAATATAATAATGTTCAACATAAACGAATTTAGAGAAGAAGACATCAACCTGTCAACCTATGCCAAAACCTGGCTTGCGTTCTTAGAAGGTGATGTTATCTGTTTGGTGCAAAGGCGCAAACTCTTTTTTGAATTGTTTCCTGTTGGTGAAACGATTATCTCCAACAAATACTGTCAACAACTGAACAATTTGAAGACACTCGAGGAAAGCTTTCGAGTTTGAAAATCAATCGAAAAGGTGTCGTCTTTCACCACGTCAGTCACCTCACGTTTTAATGCAGACACAAACTGAGAGGCCTTTTATTGCATTCTTCTGACATCGCTATCACTTGCCCGGTCATTACAGGATAATTTGAGTGGAAATGACTTTTCATCTTTCGAATCCTTAAAAACCACGTTTCTTTAACGAGAAACCGCGTACATTATATGACATTCGTATGTCGCCAGAATATTGGAGAAAAGTATCGAGAATGATTATGGTATAGAGAATGATGAAAAATATTTGGCCAATTAGATGACAACTTTTGTATGTCACATCACCAAATAACCTTTATTGAAAAAATGGCCACGGACTTTTGCACTCACCCGATAGTTGTAATAAAACGATAAAGTTAGTTCTAATCCTAATTCAACCCAACTCAAAGGTATATTACCCAATCTGACCAAAATGTGAATTGACAGAATTGGGAATCTTTTATAAGCAGTGCAACTTGCATCAAAAGATTTCTTTGGCGCGAGACATCCGTAGATCTTTACGATCGCTGTAGATACAGGTTTCCTGTAGATTCAATGATATCTACAGGTATAAATATCGGCAACTTACTTTAGCAGCGAGCTTCCGTTGCTGCCTCTCGAGAGCTTTGAGCAACTTTTTCTGTCTCCTTTCGCGTTCTTTCCGTCTCAGTTCTTCAGGTGGGATGGGTTCGCCACTGCAACTTTGAGGGTGAGCGTTATGCGCCGGCCTCCCGGGACCCTTCTTCGTGTGTTCCTTCTTTCGCCATTTTGCCCTTCGGTTTTGAAACCACACCTGGAACAACGACAGTTAAAAATGAAGGATTCAATTGTTCTTACGTTGTACTAAAAATAGATAACGATCCTTTTACTGATAAAAAAATGATATCGGAGCTCATATTTCTCATCAACACCATTTTCTAATGTGTGTGTTTCAACTAATTTTCTGGTTCAAAAGAAGGAAGAAAAGTCATAAAAAAAACCGTCAATCAGCGCTAATCGCGACGTTGGCAGCAAACATCATCTGAATCGCATCAAGTCTTCGCAGCGTGTCGCGTAAATTTCCAAAACCCCCTCCCCTCGTGCCCTCCTTCCACATTTTCCCGAGCGGCAGAAAATTGCGGGTGACTTAAATCTTACAACGCCGCTCTCGCGCGCAGTGCTATCAGAAGCGACACGAGGAAGGGCGGATACATTAAGTTCCGAAATTACAGGAAGATTCCTGTCTCGGGACGAAGGACCAACGACCCTCGCGGGTGTCCTGATTCATCGAGGAGGACGGCAACCCTTTGCTCGCGTGAACGTTCGTGGCATGAACCACGATTTAGGGCTAGCGTGGGCCACGGCGCGACCGAGGGTAGCAGAGGCGCTTGTGAAGAAGCGGGGCCAATGGGAGGGGAAGGAAAGGGGCGAGCTGGAAGAGGTGGCTAGAGGGAGAGATGAAGACATTAGTTGTACGGCTCGACCGTCGAGCGGCGCTGAGCTCACGCGAGCCGAAGATCAATAGATCCCCTCGCGGCTCCCTGAAACACCTTTCTAGCGTCGCGTAGCTTTACGACTTTCTTCGACTTCGGGGTACTTTACGAAGCCACGGAAGGGGTCCAAAGTGCTAACCTCCTTCCCGTTATTCGTGAGTCTACGTTACCGGCGATTAAACTTCGCGGGATCATAATTAATTCGATTACTTCGACGGGGCTCGATTAGAATCCGTCGCGCAGTTACGTTATTTAATTCCCCAACTTTTTCGCCCTCGGCCGGAGAGAGAGAGAGAGAGAGAGAGAGAGAGAGAGAGAGAGAGAGAGAGAGAATCTCGTACGGAAGCTTATCCTCAAAACTTACCGCGGCGTGCCCGGTGCTTCACGCAGAAGCCGGCGCAGCTGTAACGTGTTACGTCAACGTGTGACGCGTGGGAAATGCGAGTCGGAGCATTAACGCGGCTATTCGTCAGGAATTATCGGTGGCCGATAACAGTCAACAAGCAGTTTCGTCCGATTACGCGTGAGAGCCGGACGTGTTCTCGATGAACTAAATAACCATTTTTTCGTCGGGTGCCGACAGGCGCGCATCGTCAGGCCGCGCATCGAGGCAAGGTGCAGACTGAACATTGTAAGCAAGCCGACTAGATTAACATGCGTAAAGTCTATCTTCACGGCGGCAAAAACGTCGGCGAGGCGACGCCGACGTCGAGCAGATAACAGCAATCGCTGTACAAATGTGCCGCCGGAGAGATAATGCATTCTAATGTAATTATATATTCCCGCCAATTAATAAACGATGTCGTCCGCCGCGCCGATAACGAAAGAATGCTCGCTTGTTCGATTGAATCGTTGCCGCGCTGCAATTAATTTTTTGCCTCGTTGTTTCTTCATTTCCGCAACGATCGCTGATATTTCGGCCGGTCTCGGTATCTCGGTGTACAAAACGCATGGGAAGACGGCGCGCTCTCACACGCTCTCGATTACCGATCGTAACTGTAGCGAAATAACGCGCGCGTACTTTATTCCCCATTATTCTATTATAAAAGTAACAGCAATTTGTATTGGCTGAGCCTCGCCACGAGGCGAATGTAAACAATAGGTCGCAATAAGGCCGCGGAATAATTGCGTTACGCTTAATGGATGCGATTGGCTCGACATTTTGCAACAAGTTCGCCGTTTTATCGATGCAGTACTCCCGAGCCTGTCGAATGCAAATCGTGCCCCGATAATGGCGATGTCGCGCGCGCGAGGGAGAGAGAGAGAGAGAGAGAGAGAGCTTTCCTCGATCGCGATAAATCAAAACGCGTCGTTCGCGGTCTTATTTATGACCGGCTATGACTCGCTCAAGTGCCTCGCATAATAATGCGAGACCGGAAGCGCACATGCGCGAGCAAGGGGCGAAATTGGCGCGTAATGGCAGCCAGGCATGCCGGGAGATTTTGACATCGAGGGATTTGTGAGTCCTCGGATCTTCGGCGAGTCCCTTCGGATCTCCCGCGCGAGAGATCGGATTCTGCCGGGCGGAGAGAGACAAGCGAGATGGCGGAGACGATAACCCGGCCGAGTGGTGACACAATGTGACACGATGTCACACAGCCGGTGCGTCTTTTCGAAGGGACATCCCAGCGACAGGGAATAGCTCTCAGATTAGATAACATCGATCACCGCGTACGATAACCCTTGCGAGCGTATGGTACTCCTGCGGGCACCTTTTTGAAATATCGCAGCGGCGAGATCGATAAATCGACGGTCGATCGACGTCATCGACCGATTCACAGCCGAACGCAAGATGTCCTCGCGAATATAATTAATACCCACCGGCCTTTGGCGTCGGTTGAAGTTTCCAAGAGAGACGGACTTCGCCTGACCAAACCAAATTTTATTAATACAAAGCCCATATTCGTTGCTTTTACATTGGCGACATGTACCAGGACCCTATTTCTGATCCCTATAAACCGCGCGCGCTTTGGATCTGGCCCGATTCCACGACATATTATACGAATTTATTCTGCGGCCGCTGCGAGCATCAAAGATCACCAAGACGATAGGCACGAATTTAAAGTGACTCGGAATTGAGTTTTCGAAGCCGACAGACATCGGGGGTTGGTTCCGGCCTCGGACCTTTGCCCCCTCGCTCCGTCTCGAGGGGGTAGTTAGTCCATCTGCTCGGTTACCTCTGAGATCCGTACGAGGGTGCAAAATCGACGCAGATTTATTCGCCCGGCGACCGTCCATTTAAATAACGCCGCCGCTGATAACACGCTATTGTGCCTCGATGACGCTTTCGCAAGGATCGACTTAATGTCCCGCGTCCGTTTCTTCATTTATCTGTTATGCAGCACACGATTAATGTTCATCAAACCTGACTTTTCGAAGTAATCGTAATTGTTGACGTGTCTATTTCTGTTCTTTCATCATACGATGCGAATGTTTATTGCGAGGGTTACGATTGATTCTTTCATCGTGACTAAATTACTCGGACTAATCTCAATAATTAGGAGACAATGAATGGAGAGCAGTTAAGCGGTCAAATCTGTACATAAAGAAGATCGCAACGCGATGTGAAATATTCAATATCGCAACTTCGTTAAAGAGAGCCTCATAAAATTGAAGCCTCCGGTGGAAGCCTTCGAAAGGACCTATCACGACGTAGACGATGTAGACGTCCGTCATTAAGGTTCCATGAAACTGGCATTAAATCTGTTCCACGTGGCCAGCCCTCTTCCGGTGCTGCGACAGCTCACGCCCGCGTTCTAGGAACGCAATCCAGCTGAATCCTTCGACAGGACCGCGAAGGGCAGACCCTCAATTTCACGGCCGGTCGGACATACGGTCACCCTTAGGTCCTTCAAGCGGATATTTATATTTATCTGCTTAGACACGCGCGTTAGACCCCGCAAACAGCGCATCCGTCCCCTTCTTTTATATCGGTGCGCCTCCCCATTTGATGTGTCTCATCTTTGCTCTTATCTTCTTTCGTATCGCACTCCCGTTACATTCCGCAAACGGTTCGACATAATGCTTCACTTCTTATCCTCTCTTTGCTCCTTGCTTGTTGCTGTTACTCGAGAAAAGAATTTTACACGCCTAAACGCGATCCTAAACATTTTGTATCTTCTCGCTAAAAATTTTAAACATCTTGCAGCGGATTTTCAGCAATAATTAAATAAGATTTTCAACAATGTCTAAAGTCAGGATAAAAGCGGACGAATAGAAAGGGACGGAAGAGAATATAAATAAATAGATAAATCCGATGTTTCGCTCGGCAGAAATAAAGCATACTGCTTTTGGCAACATTGCAATTCCAGTCGTGTTAACACTAGAAGGACCGGATTTGACGACTTCCCTAGAAGGACCCTAGGAATCAATTTGGCTCCAAGCATATCTTTTCGTAAATAACAAATAGAAAGAAACGAAATGTACAGATCATTATTAGAGATGTGCGAATGCAAGAATGTTTATGTCGAATCGAATCGAATCGAATCACATTTTTTAAATTCGAATTCGAATCGAATCTATGAAATTTCATTCGAATCGAATTGAATGAAATCGAATTGAATAAAAAATTTAACATGACTATTAAACATGCAAATAATGATGGAAGATTTTAATATGAAAGGTAATATTGATATTGTAATATTATCTAAAAGTAAAATATATATTTAAATATTTAAAGTAATTTATAATTAAGTTATTAATTATAAGTTAAGTTAGTTACAAGTTAAGGATTCAAAACATACAGGCCGAGATGGCTCGTTTTGTAGCTGATGCGCGCAAACGCAAATGTATTTGAGATTCGTTTTCGAACTTTCGCGATTCGAAATTTTCGAAATATTCGGATTCGAATCATAGGGATTCGGATTTAAATCGAATCGAATTACATTAGATTCAATTCGATGCGATTAAAATTCGAATAGTTCGCATATCTCTAGTAATTATAAAATTTAACAATAATATCATTAATTTATTGAACAAAAAAACTGTTAGTTATATTATATTCAATTTTTTTTAGTCTTTGGTGAAAGACTAATCGTGAAATACAACGCTATTATGTATTACAGGAAACGCATTTGTACATAATTTTCTTTGTACATTTTCCGCACACAAATTTTTTTACACGAACGACATTTTCCAACTTTGTGGTTTCTTCGCAGATTTTTTTTTATTTGACAAAATAGTCGTTTGCCTGAAGCATCGTTGGATTTAGTTTCTTCTCCGCTTGAACAAAAAATTTGAGACTTTCGTCTTTGAGCAACATATGGGGCACTCAACTTTTTCGCGATATTCTGTAAAAAGATTCTTTTTGATACTTTTTTACACGTAACTTCCTCGTATATCATCCATGCATTTATAACAGCAAAATCCAAAATATAATAAAAAATATGAACTTGCCAACGGCGAGATGATATATGTTCATATGTATGTATATAATGATTTTTCAAGCGAACAAATAGATAGATACACATAAAAATATTTATTTATCTACTTAAAATCACAAAACTTGTAAATAAACCCGTAAAACATATGAGAATGCAATATCAGATATAAGGGAGTCAAATTGGTTCCAACGATCCTTCCAGGTAGACAATTAAATAAAAATTTAACCATCTTATATGATTGAAAAATTTTTTTACCAAAATTAAGAACATGAAAAATAATGAATAGTCACAAAAGGTTATCACGTGGAGGCAAAGTTGAAAAAAGTTGTAACAGTTTGAATTTCGCGAGGAGCCAAATTGGCTGCTTCGCTCTTTCTAGTGTTAAATATACCTTGGTGGTATTAAAATAATTTAGGACTCGGAATCCCTTGAGGTGTCATGAGTAGTCATCGCGAGGAATGAAGTTTGTTTTTTAATTTGCGTCCAGTGTCCCTGCTTGCCCGCGGCTACACTACATCGTAAGCTCAGAGCCTATTCACGTGTCATCCTTCTTATTTTGACTTCTGTTATCTGCCATTCAGCGAATGTATACGGTTTCGAATGCGTTTAGCGTGAGTGTATTATATCGCGGAAACAAATAACAATGGAAAAAGTAACTCACCGCCACGCGGCTCTCTTTTAATTCGAGCCTCACAGCCAGAGCTTCTCGCATAAAGACGTCGGGATAATGACTCGACAAGAAGGCCCGCTCCAATTCTTCCAACTGCCAACTGTTGAAGTTGGTTCTGCTTCTTCGCCTCTTGTTGCCACCTTCGTCTGACTCTCCGTCGCAGCCTGAAATAAAAGAAGACGTACGTTCAGAAGAAAAACAGCAACTAGCGCAAGTTTGTTTCTTCCTTTTATTTACAATAGCACAAGAATTGTGTAAATTTGACGGGTGGACCAGAGAGAAAAAGTCCCGCCTGCTTTACTGCGAAATTTTCTATTTCTTAAATAACCATAGATAAAAGCTCGATATCTCAAGATACAACAAATAATATAACGGACGCCTCTCGCGTGCGCGATCGCGCAAAAATCAAACATAAAGATAAGCTAACACGATGTAAAATAATAAGAAGTCCAAGAAGTCACGTCCAATTCCTATAATTCGAGAAAGTTAAACGTTTCAGGCAGCCAAGATCGAAGGATCTTACAGCACTGTAAGACTCTACCAGCGCGAAAATCAAGACATTCTGCCGGGGAGCTTCGGAGATCGCAGGTTCGACGCTTCCAGGATCGAAGATCTTCGCTTCTAACACACCCAATAACGGAAGAGGCAAATATTCGAGTAAATGGTAACGGCGACACAGCGACGAACAACACCCGCAATTACTTAATTGGCGCTCGCTATTGTTGCCGCGCGATGGGTTCGCACATAAGTGCATGTCTCGCAACGAAAACAAATACAACAGTTACGTTAACCGGCGGAGCAATAACGCGGCCCGTTGTCGTAACGGCCGACGCGCGCATTCCGATAATGAAGTTAACCATGTAGTAAAGTGTGCATTCCTCCTCAATCTTTTCCTCCGATCGAGCAGCTGCACTGGCGTTCGCTTTCAGCCTCGCCACTTTGCCGATGTAAATCGATGAGTTCGCGCGCGCGCGCGCATTTTACAAGTCGATCGCTCCTTTTATTCGTTGTAGTGTCAAGCCGAGCGTGACGCGAGTAACGGAGAGATTATGGCAGCAATAATCATTGTTGGACATAATCGACATTGTTAGACAACATAATTTCCTCGAGTCGTACGGATGTAATTTCGTCTACCTTCGCTCTCGATATTTCAGAGCCCGTCACCGCAGAATTCGAGTTTGCGCTCGTTAACAAATTCCGTCGATGCTAATTCAACGAAAGTAATTCTTCGAGGTTTTTCTCACAGATTAGACAATTCGAAATTTTTATTTACTTTTATTTTTTGTTCCCCACAAATTTTTATATCAATTATCTCGCAAGAAACTCAAGTTTTATTTCTCTCAATAGCTTCGCGAGTCCTTCGAGATCCTCCGTCACGATTCTCTCAAGGCTTGTCCCGTGTATTTTTCAAGATAACTTTATCGTTTCTCATTACCGTTAATTATTGAAAAAGAGTTACTATTATGTGACCAACATTCTCCCTCTTTTTGTTTTAAGTTTGGTGATCGATCGGGGAATTGTTGCATCCATCCAGGGCGTCGAAACGTTATAATTTACGGCGGCCTATCTGGCGCGTGATCGATATCGATATCGAATTAAGTACTGTATACTTTCGACGGGAATTATTATGTTCGTGCGGCACGAAAATGGAGGCCGGCGTCGATGGCGGACGATCGCGAATTTATCTTAATTTTGCGCCATTTGTAACCGTGGTGCAAGGTAAACATTTCATCGTCGAGCCTCGAGTGAATTGAACCTTTATAAAGTGACTTTAAACACGTAATCTAATATGACAAAGAAATTATATCGACATTAAAATATACACTAGCGATTGAAACAACGATTCGAAAGGATTAGCAATTTCAAACCGTGTGAAGGTTCCGAGCGACGCTGCGACAAGAGAATCAATGAGTAGAAGAATAAAGTTTCATGCGCACGAATGCGTTAAACAATATTTTTCGCCGCAAGAGAGAAGGTTTCGAACGATGCCGCCAATATTGCGCAAAATCCCCTCGGTATTGATTAAAATGGCGTCGACTCGGGCTGGCGTACGAAGAGCAATAACCGCGCGAGATTCGTGGCGAAAGCCTCGTACCGAAAATCGCTTCCCATCTTATCTGAGCGGACGCGAGAGATAAGGCGCGCATCGAGTCGGCAGGGCGTCCCGACATATTGAATAAACATGGAATTTCAGTGATTTTACGAGGACAATCCGCTATCCCCGACGGTATCTCCGGCGGGGATCGGCGGATCCACGATCGCTTTGCTGCGCGCATATGCATGCTAATGGCTGGAATTGAATAAAAGATCGGGAATTATGATTGACCGAGTAATACAGGAACCCTCGGGTTATCTCGGATCGCGCGGAACAAGCCTAGATGGGAGTCTTCGACCGCGGTCGCGGCCGCCGCGATTTTGCCTCACGGGGAATCCCGAGCTACAACATTCCCGTTCATTGTACTTGCGTCAGCGATGTATAAGTTTCTCTGCACGATTTCGGAATTTATTTACGAATCGCAACGACGTCGCATTACTGATAGGTAAAACTTAACCGGCCGCGGGAGAGAGAAACTTGACGCGAAACTCGAACCTACCGTCGGTGAGTTTAGCGCGAAGCGTTGCGTCACGCTGATAAAGTATTTACGCTTAATCACACGTGATTTCTGACTACGCGATCTGTCGATCATCTCCGTCACAAGTATTCCGTATCTAACGTTACGTATTATTAATTCAATTTTTATTTTCTATTTCGCTGCGCGTGCTAGCAAGAATTTCTTTTTATCTTTCGATGTTTCCTCAGAACGCAACAATTTGCGGACCTTCATGAATGTGCGAGCTGATGATTGCGTTCAGTGCGAGATAACACTGCATCACGCTTCATATTCGATGCTAAGCGCGCCATCACGATGCAAACACAAAATTAAGAAGGATGTTTGGAATTACAAATTTTAAAGGCAAAAATTTCATAGCCTGAGTTGACATGGGTTTATGAGGGTATAAAAATTGCATCAATAAAACGATTCATTATGAACACTGGGAGATTGCTCCTCTTTCCTCCGAAAATTACGTTCTCGCGAAACGAGAAATATCACGTGCAGCATCATCACGTGTGTCACATATACAGACGTGTGTCAAGTTAAAAATATTATAAAACGGTAGACATCGCGCGCGCGCGCGCGCGCGCGCACGAATTAAGAAGCAGGAAAGTTATTCACATCGCGGTTTTGCGATGTAGATTATTTTGATCAGCTTTCAAAGAGCCAGCCAATTAAGATTTACCGATGGCAGGTAGACACTGTTTGCGGATCGGCTCGAGATCGTCGTTGAAATGGCCAAGGGCAATGAAAAATCGCGGGGTTGGGTATTAATCAGCGTAATTAGATGCTATTTATCCGCGGGCCGTCTCGTTCGCTCCGCGTCTCACTCATTATTGATAATCTATAATCCGTAATAAGCGCTCTCTTGCCATAGTGGCAGGTTGAAGGATTGTCGCGAGCGATAATACCTTTATCGTGTCAATGCCGGCCGATTCGCCGCACTCACTTACGCCAAATTTCATAATCGAATAAGCGACGGTAATTAATAATTTCGAGCATATACAACGAAAGTACAGCAGACGATTTTTGCAATTAAAGTATTTACGCGCCGAATATTGATACTGCAAGATTGAAGCTAATTATACCGAATTATGAAATAAGCCGTTGGGAAAATCATGCAATTTGCAATTTGATTTCACTATTTATACCTAACCAAATTTACATCAATTTATTAACTTATTAACTTGTAATATTTTTATGATTTATTTACAGAAATATTTGAGAGTGAGAGAGATAGAGAGCGGGGAGGGGGGGGGGAAGAGAGAAAGACAGAAGTCAGAGCTTTTTGATTGCCAATAAAACCATAAAGTAACATTTTTAATTACGAAGATTTCTTCCGTATCGTGTTGCTTGTCGAAAAAAAAAAAAAAATTGATAAAAACGAGAAAAAACGTAACCCGATCGCAGAGAGGGTCCGTTGCGGAGTTGAAGCGTGTCGCGGTCATATCACGAAATTAGTCGACTCATTATAATCATGTCAGGTTCATTATGCACCGAGTGCGTTACGCCGGGAGACAGCCGCTTCCCTCGTTAGGAGGAAACGCAATTCCGCTGCGAGGCGAATGCAACGAAAATAGATTAAGACGACGGATCCGCGATCAAACCGGACGTGAAAATTGTTTAACTCGTTCCCTCATAAATTATTTAGCGCGCCGCTCACTATCATCTATCAAGTTTGATAGGTGCGCCTGATAATAACCCCCGCGTCTAGCTGGTCGAGACTGCGGTCGGCTTCGAGAGTGTGTATGTGCAACCATGTAAATACATCTCAACCGAATCGCGCGAATATTATGAGCAAAAGAAACCTCGTCGGTTACTCATTCGATTCGAGCCGCGCGAGGTCAGTTTACTACACTCGCCATGCGATGAAAAACCGAATAACGAAGGTCACATTAAACAATAACGAGAGGTTACGAAAAAAGGTTTTGTGTGAAACACATATTGCATGTGTGTATTTCATATGAATTATAAAGACAAGTCTTTACTTGTAGGAATTGACAACGAACCCTTTTTGCGTGCTTTTCTTTTATGTACGGGCAACTGATGGATTTGTATTCTTTCGTTCTGATAATCTCAAATTCAAATATGTAGATTAAAAAGAAAATAATTTTATAAAAAACAATAGTAATTTCATCCCTCATATCAATTGATTTGAGATGTCGAGGATTTTTGCGCTCGACACGCGTACGTTCCGCACGACAGTCTTTCATTATCGATCGCAATAAATTCTCTAACGACAGCGTTCAGCTTCTGAGCGCTATTTCGTAAATGACACACATTTCCTTAAACATGACTCTTGTCTGCGATTTCAATGATAATGATCCAATTAGCGGCCGTTTTCTCAGGCGTTCCACTCTGATTGCGCCGCGGTCTATCCGTTCTTTTACTTTCAGTGTCACGATCTTGATACTTTTTAAAATGCGTTTTTAATACCCGGCTGAGGAACTAATAAGGCGTTTAACGACTTACCACGCCAGCGATTTATACCGTGTGTAATTAAGCTGATACTTCAAATTGAAATATGCACCATGGAATTCTTCTTTCAGAAGATTTTCTCCCCAACAGTT